TTTCTCGGGGGGAGGCCTCCTCCTCACCGGCCGCACATCAGAGGCCAGGCTATTGTTGGAAATTCAACGCCAGTCACTGCAAATGGGGGACCTCTTGCCGATTCAAGCATGAATGATCCACCTGCGGGGGAGCCCATCCCGTCTCCCACTGCTTCAAGCGGGGCAGAGTTGGCGAAAAAAGGGATTTGGGGTCAAAGGGCGACGATGCTGGTGGTCATATGCACGATGCGCCCTTGGCTCGCCAGTTATAGGAATCGTTGGGCTGCCGACATCCTGCTGGATGGGTTTGAGCATGGGTTTTGGATTCCTTTCACTGGTCGTCCCCCTTCCCCTCTGGTTCGGAACCTTTGGTCGGTCTGGGAATTCCCATGGATTGTTCGGGAAAAACTGAGTAAGGAGGTGTCGTTGGGTCGGTTGGCTGGAATTGCGGATCTCCCCCCTGGGTGTGGTGCCCAAAAAGGAGCAAGGGAAATACTGTCTGATTCACCATTTATCGTACCCCGGGGGGGTTCGGTGAATGATGACATCTCTTCGGAACTCTGCTGAGTGTCTTATGCGTCCTTTGACGCGGCGGTCGCCATGGTCAGGGCCACAGGCTCTGGGGCCTTGTTGGCCAAGGCTGATGTGGAATCGGCCTTCTGTCTGCTGCCAGTGCACCCGGAATGTCACCATCTTCTGGGCTGTGTTTTTGAAGACCGGTATTACGTGGATATGTGACTCCCTATGGGTTGTTCCATATCCTGCTTTTACTTTGAATGCTTGGGGCACATTCTTGGACTGGGTGGTGAGGAAGGAGGCTGGGATAGACTCCTTGCTACACTACCTCGATGATTTCCTTTGTGTGGGTTCCGCCAATTCGCCAGCTTGTGCAATGCTGCTGCAGGTTCTGAGTGAGGTGTTCCATCGGTTTGGGGTCCTGTTGGCTCACGACAAGATGGTGGGCCCGGTCACTTGTCTCAGTTTTCTGGGCATTGAGATTGACTCTCTGGTGGGGGAATGCCGCTTGCCTTTAGATAAGATTCAAGGCTTGCGGCGCGAGGTGGACGTGGCCATGAGGCGGCACAAGATTCAGCTGCGCTGCCTGCAGTCGCTCCTGGGGAAGTTGAATTTTGCCTGTCGGATCATGCCCGTGGGGCGGATCTTTAACCGGCGTTTGGCTGCGGCGATGGCCGGAGTCTCCGGGCCTCGCCATTTCATTCGGCTTACTCAGCCGCTGCGGGATGATTTGGCAGTTTGGGACTCCTTCTTGGATGCATACAATGGCCGATCCTACTGGCAAAAGCCGTAGGTTTCTAACGCCGACCTCCACCTATTTACAGACACGGCTGGCTCGGTGGGGTTTGGGGCTGTTCTGGGCACTAGTTGGTGTGCAACCGTGTGGCCGGACAGTTGGCATGTCTCTGGGCTCACAAAGAATCTGGCCTTTCTGGAGCTTTTCCCCATTTTGGTGGCAGTGGAGGTCTGGGGGTCACGTTTGCAGGATCAAAGGGTAGTGTTTCACTGTGACAATTCGGGGGTTGTTCAGGCCATTAATCGGCTGACAGCATCCTCCCCTCCAGTGGTTCGCTTGCTTAGGCAGTTGGTTCTCCGATGTTTGTGTCTCAATGTGTATTGTAGGGCAGAGCATATTCCCCTACTTTAACCCTTTGTGTCACTATACCCCACTCCCTCTAGCATGTAAGCTCATCGAGCAGGGTCCTCAACCCCCTCTGTTCCTGTACGTCAGTGGTCTGATCTCAATTATGTGTCTGTTAGTCCACCCACTGTACAGCGCAACGGAATTTGTTGGCGCTATATAAATAATAAAATAATAATAAAATAATAATAATACCGGGAGTTCACAATGTGATGGCGGATGCTCTCTCTCGTTCACAGTGGTCGGAGTTTCAGGCTGTCGAACCGCAGGCAAAACTGGAGGGGACGCCTTGCCCGGCGGACATCTGGTCACTCGGTCATGCAGAGTGATGGAATGGGTCCGTGGATCGGTTTCCAAGGCCACCTGGAATCACTACAGTAAGGTGTGGGGTGAATGGGAGCAATGGGGGTTGGATTTGGGTGGTTTTTGTTCCCCAACCAAGCATCTCGGGGGGCTAGTGCAGCTCTTGGACCTCTGGGAATCCAAGGGTAAGTCTCCCTCTGCAATCTCCGTGCCTTTCTCCGGTCTTAGCTTCCTATTTAAGCTGCGCGGGTGGGAAGATTCGACTAAAGCGTTTGTTGTGTGTCAGGCACGTAAGTGACTGCGACGCTGAGCTGCGTCGGTTGACGCACGGAGGCCGGTTTCTGCTGTGCTTTTGTCAAGACTCTGTGAGATGCTCCCGCAGATCTGTTACTCTGTGTTTGAGGCCCGGCTGTGTAAGTTGGCTTATTCGCTGGCATTCTTTGGGGCCATGTGCATTGGGGAACTGGTGAGCGCTAGTAAGTGCAGCTGTGGCGGGTGTTGTTTGCCGACGTTCATTGCGAGCCGGGGCGGATTTCATTTCTGATACGATGGTCAAAAACGGTTGTCCTTGGATGGGGTAAATGGGTGCGGTTGGGTGCTGTCCCTGGTTCAGATATTTGCCTGGTTGCTTCCTTTCGGGAATTCTGCGAGCTGCGCCCGGTTTCCTCAGGCCCCCTTTTAGTTCATGAGGATGGGACTTTTCTGTTTGGAGGTATTGGGGGTTGACAGTAAGGAGTTTGGGGGGCATTTATTTAGGATTGGCGCTGCCACTGAAGCTCCTAGGCTGGGAATGTCGGCGCAAGCGGTTCAGAGGATTGGGAGGTGGGCATCTGGGCATTTTGTCTCATATGTTCGTCCTTCCCGCCTCCTAAATTGACGTATTCTCCTTAGGTGGGAGTACCCCCAGGGTCTGGGTGATCGGACACTCGTATGTCTTCTGGGCCAGACGGCGGGCGGCTGTCCGTCCGGGAAGTGAGCTGCTTGGTTTCACGCCTTCTGAAGCGGAGGTTGCTGGTTTGGGAATAGAGGTATGAAGTGGGTCCAGCTCCTCCCTGAGCTAGTTCAGCTTGCCCAGCTTTTGGGTCCACCTAGTGTTCTTGTGATTCACCTGGGGGGTAATGATCTCGGGACTATGCCTATCTGGGGGTTGGGGAACGCAATTAAGAGGGATTTACCGCGCGTATTGGTTTTGTTCCCGGACGTTCGACTGATCTGGTCAGAGGTCATTTCACGAAACTACTGGCAGCGGGCCCATAATCAACGGGCGATGGAGCATTGTCGGGTTAAATTGAACCGGAGGGTCTCCAAGTTCGTGTTAGGGGTAAACGGGATTCCGGTGTGCCATATTGTGTTTGAGCGGGAGGCAGCTAATTTGTTCAGGAGTAATGGCGTCCACCTCATGGAGGTCAGGCTCGACCTCTTTAATCTTGCAATCCACGAGGCGGTGGAACAGGCCTTGGGTGGTTTTGGTGGGGCTCCCCACTGATTTTAGACTTAAAACAGCTGGGTTTGTGGCAGGGTGCATGTCCTTGCCAACAGGGTTGGGGAGCAGATGGAATGTCAGGAGATGGATAAGGTGGGTTTCAACCTCCCCTGCTCTTTAAGGTAAACTTTCAAGTTATCGAATTGGACGTGCCCACCGAATTAAAAGCCAGCTGGTGGTTAGAGCATTTAAGATGATGGGAATTTGGTTTGGACGAGGGACGAGGCGAGACACCAGTGGGTAAAGTTTTTGGTGCATAGGCACCTGGTTAAGTTTGTTGGCAAGGACGGTTATTTAAGTTGAAGGCTGTAGGGCAATAAGTGTTAATTTATATGTTAATTATGGTATGTATATATTTATGTGTTTATTTATATTTAAATTAGAGGAAAAGAATAAAGTTCGGATGAGTCCTACAGTTGTAAGTTTTAATAAATGCTGTGGCCTGTTTCATCCAATATTCGTTGTCTGTCGTTATTGGGGGGATAAGTGGGTTGTCTCTCTCTTTTAGTCGCACCACATTCCCCGCTACGTATATACATGAAACCAGCTCTCAGGGTTTATACCCTCCATGCTGCTGGCCAATCACATCTACGTGCTTTGTAGACTGCAGCCCACTTCCTCGGGACATGTTACAGTCACTTTGCCAACAATATTATTTTTAATTATCACCTGCATCCTAGAATTGTGCATTAGTTTTTTTTTGTTTTGGCTGCTCAGCTAAATTCCATATCTACAAAGCATTATGTGGACGTAAAACCCAAACAAACGACAAGGAAAAAAAGGGGCACAGAATGGAGAGGAAGATGTTTTTTGTTTTTTGTTTTTTGAAAGGAAGGCCAATAAGCAGTTTAATTTGCCATGATAGACAAATAGTCTGCCCAATGATGTGTACGCTTTATCTCCATGAAGTGTCAGGACAGGAGCAAAATGCATCCAGAGTTACTGTAAGATTTTTTTTTTTTATCTTTGCCACCCACAGAACTACAAACTGGGCGGATCTCATATTACCCATAGGGAATTGTTGTTTGAATTTATCAGCCAAAATGCAATTAATTATGTCCATAATAAGTCCACAATCCATAAAGATGTCAAAGAAGGGAGATTTAAAAAGGGTAATTAGACGGACGGGCTTGACCGCCAAGCCGAGCGAACGCAACTCACATTAAAGCCCAAATTCACTGCTTTGCAGCCCCTTCAGGCTTATAATCTACAACCAGAGATTCCTGGGCATCTCTATATGCGGAGGAGGTGGCCGATCCTTCAGACCAGACCTGGCATACTGAGAGTGAGACCAGAGCCCTGTAAACCCCCTGCCAGTGGGGGTTATCCCGGACCCCATCAAGATAGCACTCACCTTTGAAACTCTCCTGGGCAACCACCGCACAAACGGCTCCCATGCCATCTAACCAAAATAGCCGATGACACCACTGCTCCGTTGTATGAGGTGACAGAGTCGACCCTCACAAAGCTGGACTTACTCTATGAGGCCTTTTGGCAAAAGATCATGGAGAGGCAGTGCAGCACAGCCTTGAGGCTACATTCACCTCCTGCAGCCCAGTGGTCCAAGACCCTTCTGAAATGGGACAGAGCTACACCCAGGCACCGGACAAGACGGCAACTCAGGTGGACCGACGCAGAAGCAAAACCTACCAACAGAGTTTCCTCACAGACGCCTTCTGCCAAAAAGAGCACATCTACGGCACCACCAAGCCAAACGCGGCCCAAGCCTTCATGAGAAGAGGGGCCCCCTGGAAACACAGAGAACTCACCGTTATGCAACAGAGAGAGCAGGTGGAAGACGGAGAGGGCAGACGGCAGCGGGATATAGAATCCACAGAGACCCCGACTTTCCTGCCTACCCAATGCAAGGTATGCCAGTCCAAGCTGACGCAAGGAACCAGAGAGACAAGCCTGAAGACTCATGCTCCCCTACAAGTCGATCTGGGCTTAGCCTGACATCCACGGGCATAAGTTGAGTTGGCTATATGTGAGGGGACACTAGATCTGTCAATGCCCCGCTGCTACTTCTTCTCCTTCTCCTTCATAATACTGCTCTCCATTTGCCATTTATCATGTATACTTTCACCATACTGTGCATAGCTTTGTTTCACCTAGTATGTCCACTGCCTTCCGACTTACCTAATCTGTCTCATGTTAATTTATGTTCACATATGTGTTTCCCTAAAGCCAATATCTACTACCCAGTGGTAATATTACTAGTAGACTTGTCAGTTAACACAGCATAATATATTTCCTGTTTTCCCTTAACTCACTACTGATGTGTTCTCTATCGTGCTCATGTTATACTATGCTATACAATGCTATTAAGACTAACAATAGGTCAGTTACCTAGCATGGTTCCATTAATGCTCCTACTAGCATACCTACTGACACATTATGTATGACAATATTTTATTAGACAAAAATTGTGCAGTTTAACCCAATGTCATGACGTTATGTGCTTCGCATTGCCTGCATTAGCTATTGTAGCATTACAGGCCTGTTGTAAACCCTTTGCACAGCAAAAATAAAGAATAAAAAAAAGGGGGGGGTAATTCGAGAGAGAAAGAAGACATTGAATCTTAAAAATGAACTTTATAATCTTTTAAAAATGCAATATGAAATATACAGGGAATGAGAAATAGCCACAAAAAAAACAGCATAGCTGTAGTTAGTAAAACAAATTTTTAAATTAGTTGTAAAAATATAAATACATAAAAGATAATATATTTTCAAAGAATGATTTTATAAAATGGAATTAATCTCAAAATCTATGTTCAGGCTCTGGAGTAAGGATCTGGAGTTCAAAAATCCATTTACTTTCTTGTTTGCTAAGTTTTTTTGGCAATATTTCTCCCTCTCCAATGATTAGTAACCTTATCTATAGCATGGAATTCTAAATATTTTGGGTCTGATCCATGATTTTCAAAAAAGTGTACGGACACACTGTGACTAGTAAAACCATTTCTTATATTTCTAACATGCTCGCTAATTCTAGTGCTCAAAGATCTTGATGTTTTGCCCATGTATTGGTAGCCACAATTACAGTTTGATATATAAAGTTTTTAGAGTGGCAAGTAATAGGGGATTTAAATTTGTATCTCTTTAACCCCTTAAGGACACATGACATGTGTGACATGTCATGATTCCCTTTTATTCCACAAGTTTGGTCCTTAAGGGGTTAATGTACTGTTAGATTTAAAAGCTGTAATATTCGTATTGCGTATATTAGTATATCTACAGGCATTACAAGTATCACAGTGATGGAAAAAAAACTTTCTGGATCTCCGTCAGGTTAGATAAAACTGGTACTTAAAACTTCTTTTAAGTTTTGCGCCCCTCTTAAAATAAATCTAGGCTTAGTTTCCAGATATTTCAAGTTATTTTGTTCATGAGTTAAAATATGCCAATTTTTGTTAACTGTTTTTTAAGGTTTTCTATCTTGCCTGCATAGATTTGTTTTCCTATCCTTATATTGCAATAATTGTGATCTATCTAATTCTAAAGTGCTATTGATATTAATCTATAGTAATTTATCCTTGACATAATCTTTTTGTATAAATTGTTTCTTTCAGAAATCTTACTGGTTAGAACAGTTCCTGCGCATTCTGAGGAATACTTGTTAGCCATGGACGATGTTGGCAGTTAGCTATCTCTATGTAACAATTCACGTCCACTTAATTAGAAAGGGTGCGTATCATTAAAATATCGTTAGAAACATAGATCTCAAGATCTAAAAAGTTAATGATTGTTTTGTGTGGCAAACCTAGCCACTTAAGACTGTATTTGTATTCATGTGTTATTGTTGCCCTAAAGACTGCAGGAATCTGTCAGTATTCTATATTCTGTTTTGTATGCTAAAGAGAGCATTCGTATGCTAGCGGCACGAAAGCCGTGAGCATTCATTTGGTAGTTTCACAAATAGTGAATTTCAACACTGTTCGTGAAACGAATAAACTACCGAATGGGAGACCACACAAGGGGGTTGTGTGTCTCCCATTAACGATTGCAACTATGTATCCCCAGCTCATTAATGTGTTTCGCAGGTTGTGACGAGACCAATCTCGCCACTGTGCATTGGAGAAGCCTGGTTGCCTGCCTGCTGCCTCTAGACTATGGCCCCATGTTGAAACGCTTTATTTTCCCCTGCAAAGACACGAAAGCCGAGTCATTCAGTACTTGCCCTTTTTGAACAGTAATACCCCAGATAGCTATGCCATGGAGCCCATTCGTATAAAGAAAGACTATGTGAAGGACTTTGGCTCCATGGCAATTGAACTGTATGTATGTGATCTGAGCGCCATTCAGTAATAACGTGCGCTCAGATCTAAGCTATTTGGGGACATGTTGAATGTACCTGTTTTATGCAATAGCTACACAAATATATTTTTATGTATTTTATTGTCTTTTGCTACCATGTGTTCAATGGAGTTTTGCCTCTGTCCTTGGAGATAATTGTATTACTTCGCAATTATCTCCAGGATAGAAGACTCTGTGGAACTAGTTTATAGCAGAAAAGCCATGCTTCATTTGGGCACAAAGTACTTCGATCTAACTTTTGAACCACTGGACCAATTTGGATGATTTTGACATATGTTTGTATTTGGAGTATGCAGATTATGAAAATGTAATAAACCCACAGCTCGGTCTGCTTGACCCTCAACACGGAGCCTTGTCTCATTCTTGGGGGGGGGGGATTTACTGTATGTTGTTAGAGACTGATTGCTAGTAGTGTAAGCCGCTTGGGTGTTTTTCCTGTTCATCTGCTAGCAGCTATTCATGAGGTTCCAGTTCGAGAGTTTGGAGCATTCCCTTGTATCCAGTTCAGGAGTTTGGTGTTCTGCAGTAGCTGCCTGTGTCTCTGGAAGGGGAATATCTCCTAAACGCCTGTTAACCCCTTTTATGCCTGGGGGTGCCGTTACTCGGGTGGTCGCCGTTTGTATACCGAACACGAAAGCCCAGCGGTGTTTGGTTGTCAAGTGCCTGGAACTAAAATCGTCCACTCGACTTCACAAACATCACTGGACTTCCAGGCCGTTCGGATGAAATATTCTTTCGGTATATTAATGTACTCAGTCTATTCTCACCGTGTAATACCTGTTCGTATAAAACTATCAATCGAATGGCTTTCATTTGCTAGTGCAGGGATCTGAGCGGTATTTCACCAGACGGTGCGCTCAGATCCCAGCTCTTCAATGAGGGGTCATTCGGATTAATCCAACTAATATTGTACAAGTTATGCATTTTTTGTGTGAAATGGTGTATTTTGCTGTACTCAGAGATAATCCCATTAACATTATATTCTTGGGTGATTATCTCTCCAGTACAGCAGGGCATGATGGGAAATAGCCTTGCATGGTCAGTTTCCCACACAGTACCCCTGAGTAAAACCCATGCAATGCGAGTTTGGAAACCCCTTGCATGGGGACTTGTATAAATATGGTGACAAGGCAATAAAAGTTCAGTAGACTCCCAGACTATGTGTCGTCTAGTTCTTGGGAAAGAGGGATTATTATCACGCTACCTGTGTTTTACCTACTGAATCCTGACTACCAGCGGAGATACAGTGGATTTTACTACTACTCCGCTACAATTGGGGGCAGGTGTGGGATTCAAACCACACAGCAAAGCAGCATTCAGCAGTTATTTAGGTGAACAGAGGAAAAGAAGCAGCAGTTCGGTGAAACAACCATTCGTATAAAACCAGAGTTTGGGAATATATGGAATTATATGAACGGATGGTGAATGGAGACGAACTATGCACTATTGAAACGAGCTACGCTAAAGGAACTACTGGAGGCAAGGGGAATAATAGCAAGCAACAAATCGAAAGCTACCCTTATTGCCGAACTCATGGAGGGAGACAGAGCAACTACTGCAGCGCCTCCACTGCAGACAAAGCAAACCGAATTTGGAAAAGAGCTCAGGAGCAGGTTGGCATTTCTTCCAGAAACGCCACCCAGGGAAACTGTGGAGAGAATAATAGCGGATGTGCACGAGTACTTCATGGCCAGACAACAAGCCGACCAGGGAAGGGTTCCCAGCTCCATCCAGCATTCCCCAGGGAAAAGCTAAGATTCCCTACCAAGCCTTTAAGAACTACACAGACGCAGAGGGTGATATATATGACTACCTGCAGGACTTCGAAAGGCTGTGCCAGTTGCATGACATCAGCTCAGCAGACCAGGTACCCCTGCTTGCCGGTAGATTATTGGGCCGAGCCGCAGAGGTGTACCACACCGTCCCAGACGAGGACAGCAGGGACTAGCACAAGGTCAAACAAGCCATTTTAGCTCGGTATGCTATCACCTCAGAGGCATACCGACTCAAGTTCCGAGACATCAAAAAGCAAGAGAAAGACTCTCACACAGAATGGGCTCACAGATTACAGCGAGCCGCCAAGGGATGGGTGGAAGCAACCCAGGCCACCACTCTAGAGGATCAGTTTCAGTTAATTGTATTGGAACAGTTCTAAAATGGGCTAACGATAGACCTGCAAAATTGGGTCAGAGACCGAAAACCCCGTACCCTACAGGAGGCAGTCAAACTGGCTGATGAGTTCCAGGACACCAGACGAAACCAACCCCCCCAGTGACTCGACCTCCAATCCGCAGTCACACCTGCAACCAGCAAGGGCATATCCAAAAAGACTGCCCACGGAACAGAAACCGGCAAAACTGGCGTAACCAGGGGCCACCACCCAATAGCCGAGCTGCAGTACACGGTTACCAAAAGGAACCCTTTGTGCCACACGCTACAGCCACATCGGTAGAAGAACCCCTGGGAACCATGCATGAAGTGAACCCCATACAAGCCACCTCTGATAATCGACAGGGGCACCGCCAGGTGGTACACATGGAGGGGAAGATCTTACAGGGATTACGTGACTCTGCGGCCACCTTGACTCTGGTCCGGAATCATCTGGTTCCAAAAGACAATCTCACTGGGGACTGTGT